AGGCCGCCATGCTGGATCTCTGGACGTGCCCAGGTTCCAGGCGAAACTTGCTGGAGATGGCCCGTGGGATCTGGGTGCTGGGAGAGGCAGGCAGGGCCATGCCCTTGACTTGGGGCAGAGGAATTAGCTAGGGAGCTGCCTGGGACCAGGGACTCCGGGAGAGAGGCGGCTCCTCGTGGCCAGGAAGTTACACACGCCAGGCACGGCTAGTCATTGCCAGCTGCCTCTCCTCCCTGTGGTACCGGTGACCTGTTGGGCGGGCAAACAGCCCTGAGGGTGGATTAGAAACGGGCTAGTGAAGGGAGGGGCCACCCATGGGGAGCTGTGCTGGGGTCTGCATGGTCTCCTCTGCCCTGTAAGGATGTGGGGGGAAGGGGCACCCTCCAGTGGGGTCAAATGGCCAGCGCCCGAGAGCCCAGCCATAGCCAGCAGAGGAGCCAGTGCTGGCAGATGGCCTGCAGCGGGGAGGGGTCTGAGCAGCCGTACAGTGGGTGAGTGCTGCCCCCCCTTGGGCAGCCAGGGGCTCCAGGGGGATGGAGCATCACCAGACCACAGCCACCCTCTGGGCCTGCAATGGGAATCATACCAGGGCAAGGGGGAGCTGGCACCTGGCTCCACTTCCTTACCCATGTAGCTGCCACGTGAGTTGGGGCTCACTCTCTTGTGGCCGCCCAGCCTGTCCTGGCGCGTGCCCACCTGGGGCATGGCTGGGAAGACTCCTGCTTCCCGTGGGTGGCTCAGCAGGTACCATGCTGGCCCCAGAGGCTGGTCTGAGGAGGCTGCTCCTCTGACGCTTCTCCGGACTTGTTCTTGCAGGCAAAGTACCTGACCAAGAAGACCCAGGCTGCCAGCGTGGAGGCGGTGAAGATGCTGGACGAGATCCTGCTGCAGCTCAGTGTGAGGGGGCTGGGGCCGGGGACCGCTGCTCCTGGAGGGGGGTTTGCGCGGGAGCCCGGCTCTGATTGCCCCCTCTTTGCTTGTAGGCCTCCGTGCCAGTGGACGTGATGCCCGGCGAGTTTGACCCCACTAACTACACGCTGCCCCAGCAGCCGCTGCATCACTGTATGTTCCCCCTAGCGGGCGCCTACTCCACACTGCAGCTGGTCACCAACCCCTACCAGGCCGACATCGATGGGGTCCGGTAAAGCCCTTTCCTTGGCACCAGGGGTGGCATGGCAAACAGAAACGGGCAGCGCTTTGTGCCCCTGCTGCTGGGTCCATGCTGATGCCAGAGGGAAGCCAGGGAAAGCCCCACCCCTCCACCTGCTGGGCAGCACGAGGCGGGAGCTGGCAGTGGCTTAGCAAAAGGCCTGGGGCGTGGTGGGAAGTGGTGTGGGTTCCTGAGCTGGCACACTCAGGGCTGGGCAGTGAGGACGGCACTGGGGAACAACTCAGCCTGCAAGCAGCCTGACTCCCGTTGCTCTCCAGGTTTCTGGGCACGTCTGGCCAGAACGTCAATGACATCTTCAAATACAGCAGCATGGAGGACTACCTGGAGATCCTGGAGTGGACGCTGCGTGTCGGGCACCTCAGCCCCACGGCCCCAGACACCCTTGGTAAGGGGCTGGGCAGGGACCCCCGCAGTGCACCTGGGCAGGCAGGAGGAGCTCTGAGCGTGTGAGCCGAGATGGCGCTGAGGGGAGTGGATCTGGAGGCGGGGCTCACACCTACCCCAGGCTGGGAACAGGTGGCCAAGAGCTGCCGTGCAGCAGGGGTAGGTGTCCTGGGAGGGCGCTAGCGGGCCTGGACTCTGAGCATCAGGTCCCAGCCCTGCTGGCTCTGAGAACGACAGCAGAACAAACCCCCGACTCTGGAGGGTGTGGAGGGGTCTGGCCCAGCAGCCCTGTTTCTCTGCATCGCCCCTAGAGCTGGGAGTGCTCAGCAGGGATGGGGCTGGGAGTTGGCAAGAGGCACTAGTTGCCAATGTGGCCACTGGCATTGGTGGGCAGGCGGCCGTCCTGCCGTTTGGTAGGGTGCTCCTGCGGGTGGAGTTGTTGCTGATATCTAGCTACGCCCTCAGGGCACGGAGCCGGGCGCTCCTTAACAGCCTGCTTCGTCTTCCAGGCTGCTACCCTTTCTACAAGTCCGACCCCTTCATCTTCACCGACTGCCCTCACGTCTACTTCTGCGGGAATGCGCCACGCTTCCAATCCAAGGAGCTCACAGGTGAGGGGCCTAGAGGCCTGCTGGCTGGGCACTGTGCCCTGGGGGGGCTGCTCCGGGTACCTCGCCACGACAGTGCCGGGAGGGAAAGGAGGCCCCAGCAGCCGGATCTTCAGTGTCCTTGGAGAATGTGGGGTCCTGCCGCTCTCATATTGAGATGGTTACCATACGTGTCACTGCTGGATGGATGTGCACCAGTGCATGCTGGGAAGACCCAGCCAGCTGTCCCCTCAGCAGGGGCAGCACCCAGGGGCGGCACATGGGCAGCACATGCAGGAGGAGGTTGGGCTGGGTACGCGGCCCACTCCCGTAGAGCCAGGAGCTGGGCCTCTGTGCTGGTCACGGGCAGCATGAACCACAGTTGGAGGTGACCCCGTGGCTACCCAGATTCTGGCCCAGATGGCAGGACGGCTGCTGACCCCCCACCAGCCCCCGTGGAGTTGGGGAGGGACAGAGCTCCCGGCCTAGCAGTGGGATCCGGGTGCACGAGCGATGCAGCGTGTGGGAAATGTGGCGGCTCCGTGGCTGGGGTTGAGCCGGGGGCCCAGGCCAGGCGACCCCCAGTGCCGGTCTCTAGGTGGGGGAGCGGCTCAGCCCCCCTCTGTTTGCCTTGCAGGGGCGGATGGGCAGCAGGTGCTGCTGGTGACCATTCCCGACTTCAGCGCCACCCAGACGGCCTGCCTCATCAACCTGCGCAACCTGACCTGCCAGCCAATCAGCTTCTCCGGCTTCAGCGCCGAGGAGGACGAGAGTGAGATGGAGATCAGCCACTGAGCCAGGGTGGGGCAGAGCCGGGCCGCCCGCTGTGGGCCGGAGGAGGCGCCAGCCTGCTCCCAACAGGGTGCAAATGGACCCAAATAAAAATACCTCTCCCCTCCCTCTGCCTGCGGCTGCGGTGTTCCAACACTGGGGTGGCCGAGGGGGCGGGCCTGCCGGAAGGGCCTCTGCCTACTGGCCAGTTCTGGGGGCCTGCGTGCACCCATCTCCAGCTCACCCACCAATCTGCGGGGATGGAAGTGCCTGCGCTGGCATGGGGGGAGGGGAGAGCTGGTTCTGCTACATCCGCCTAAGTGTGCTCTGGGCCTGGCGTCCCTCCCTCCCCGGGAAGCTGTGGCTGGGCCTGGCCTGGCTGAGTGACCAGCTGCCCCTCTCTCCTGTCAGTGGGGCGCTGGCTCTTCGGCTAAGGGCGAGGGCCTGAGCCTGCCACGCCGGGGGGAGCTGGCACTGCTGCCCATGCCCTGTGGCTGCAGGGGCCTGGCCATTCCAGCTTCACCACCATGGGACGCGGGAGCAAGTCCGGGTCCCTGGCAGGGTGGGTCCAGGCTGTGCCCCACTCTGCTGCCCAACCCTCAGCTCTCCCCCTCTGCCCAGCCAGCCTGGAGGGGGCCCAGCCAAGCCATCCTCCCCCTTCCCTGGCGCAGGGCGTCCCCTGCCAGGCGAGAGAAGACAAAGCTGGCACCTTTACCGACGTAGCTGGATTTATTCGTATAACAGGAACCGCGTGGAGGAACCCAGCTGCCCGCTGGGCTGCACTACCCCTGCCTCCTGGGCCCTGCCCTGGAGAGGGTCCCAGCTCCCCCTGCTGGGCCGAGTCCCGCATCAACCCTCCCTCGCTCCCTGAGCCTGGCCAGCTGCTGGTGCTGCCCGGTCTCATGGGGATCCCGTCGTTTCCTGCCCAGGAGGGTCAGGCACCCCCATGCCCAGCCCCCTGTGGGCAGCTACGTACCCCTGGACTCCTAGAAAGCGGTGTGGTGAGCCTGGCATGGAAGCAGGAGGCCGGTGGGGGTGAGTGCTGGGTCGACAGCAGGCTGCCCGGAGCCGCGGGGCTCTAGAAGCAGATGACCATGCCTGCAGCTGAGGAAAGGGCAGCTGGCTGCGGGCAGGGAGCTGGCCACCGGGCGCTAGCGTCTGGGTTGGGCCTTAGGCAGCAGCGACCGGAGCGCCTCCTAATCGCCAAAGTTCACGGTGTAGGTCTCCGCTGTGGTCAGGGGCTGCGCAGTCCCTGTGCCCACCTCCCAGGCCCCAGCCTCAGCCTCCGTCACCAGCTCCGTCACCAGCTCTGTCACAGTCTCCAGCTCGGTGTAGGTCTCGGTCTCCCAGGTGGCAGCGGTGGGCGGCAGCTGGCTCCAGGGGGCAAAGGTGGTGCTGCTGAAGGCGAAGGGGAGGGAGGTGGTGGGGGCCAGTGTGGGGGGGGGCGCCGGTGGTGGTGGCGTTCAGCATGCGCTGGCGCATCTGTTGGCGGAGCCGCATCC